CTGATATCAATTTAACTTTTGTATCATTAATCTTCACAAAACCAACTTATAATGTGAATGTTGTCCAAGCCTTATATGCACTACTAAGGGCGTATACACAAGATTTGCATAAAAGATGAAACTAAGATACTAAAGGAAACTAACTACATAAATATAACAATAGAAATTTAGAAAATATTGTCCGAAATATATGGTACTTTCCAACAGATATCAATAATTTATTAAGCACCATTTTATTAGTCACGGAGACCACCAAAAAACAGTGACATGCTAAAGAGCACAGAGCAGAAGTTATTAAAACCAAGAGACATCGCTCAACAAAAATGATGAAAACAACAATGAGTGAACTAAAGGTATCAATGACAACAAATACAAAATATAAAGATTATGATTTAAAGTAACCACCTTTTGGTTTAGGAACAAGATGAGGACTCCATATATATGCATGAGGAATGTCAGTTTCAGAACCTTGTGAGCCGCTTAAATATGTGACAGGCCGTAGCTTCAACTTTTTCTTCCTAAGATCATTAATCATGTCTCGTATTCCAAGCCAAATTAACGAGTCAACTATTTGATACGAAAGCTGAAAAGTTATGAATGATCAATATTAAGTCAAACATAGTTGCAACAAATTTGGTGGGTGATAAAAACCAGATTTGATTAATGAACTCACCCTATAACCAGCTTGTTGCTTTACACGAGACAAAGGATGAGGAAATTCAGTTGTTGGCCTGGGTGAAAAAGATAAAATATACATATAATGTACTTCAATCACAAGGGAAACCATAAGAAATAACCAACTTTTTAAGAACTAAAAGAAAAATTGGTAAACAAACGACTAGAGAAATATGGAAGACTATGATAATATCATCAAGATGAAACTTACGTCCAAGGCATTGTGAAAAAAATATGAATTGGAATTTTTAGGGCCTCTGCAACATGGGTATGCCCTATTTTAAAAGTATAACAGTGTCAGTAGCAAAAACAATGATATGCATTAAAGAGTATTATCTTCCATTGTCATCATAAAAGTAGAAAAATAGAATCGACCAGCAAGAAATGTGAAAGAATAATTCAATATCAGAAACAATAATTCAAAATTTAGATAGAGAAATGACAGAACGTTTTATCATGTAAAGGTTGTATAAGACAAATAATTTGAATAGATTAAGATCCGAATCATCTGATCTAAATTGTAATGTTGGCATCTTAATTCCCTGTGTATTTTTCTTTCCTAAGTTCTAGCATCTTAGTTAGTATTTCCTCTTTTATGTAGGGTAACGCCATACACAAGTAGAACACAAGAAAAACAACAAGAGTAAAACAGATAAGAGAAATAAAAGAGGATACACAAGTAGAACACAAGAAAAACAACAAGAGTAAAACAGATAAGAGAAATAAAAGAGGATACACAAGTAGAACACAGAGAAAAACAACAAGAGTAAAACAGATAGAGAAATAAAAGAGGATACACAAGTAGAACACAAGAAAAACAACCAGAGTAAAACAGATAGAAAAATAAAAGAGAAAAAAACATGAAGAAGAATACACATAGGGGAAAAGAAGAAACGTGGATAATGGAAAGGTTGCTGCATGTTTTATAAATATTTAATCAGAGTAATCAGAGTAATTATTTGTATTTAATGAGAGTTATTGGTATTTAATCAAAATTATAATTAGGGTCGAGTAAAATAATACACAAACACAAATTTTCAGATTATTTTTTAAAAATAACCCGCAATTTCCGCCATGCCGCCGTGAACCTTAAACTCGTGGCGGCCACCATGGCGCCGCAATGCAAAATCCGCAATGCCATAACTTTTCCATTGCACTATTTTAAATTTCCGCAATCCGCCATGGCCGCAATTTGACAACACTGTTTGTACCAAATTGAATTTCGACTCCATGAGTCATTTAATTAATAGCAACTGATCACGTGATAGATTATACTAAATCAATCCTTGTGAAAGTAAGAAAAAATAAAATTGCACATGGCACAATTTTGGCAATAACTGGAGCCGCGTTATTTCGACACAGATTTGAAATCGAAATTCGACAATTTAGACGGTTAGCGCAATTGAAATATGTGGTTAATGTTACTGCTTATTAATCATCCACCTAACACAATTAACCACGATTTTGAACGTCATTAGCCACTACTCTCTTAGGTGTTCGTATACATTATTAGGATCTGAAATATCTAATTCAGATGAGATTAATCTTCTGTTTTTATCTCTTATCCTTTTATTCACTAGCATTTTTCTAACCAACTCTGGTCATATATTTCATCCTTGTGTGTGTGCGCGCGCGCTTTGAAATTTAAAAGTTAGTGTATAATATGAATCTATACACACTATATACATATATATAGATACATATGTGCATACTTACCAATATGTGTGTGTTAAATAGCCATAATACTGGGATATAATTGCTGCAACACCAGAGTAGCATTGGATTTTTTTATTGCACATCAAACCGTTGCTAAATAAAATTGCACAAAATTAATGAACCATATCATAAAAAATGTAAGTAACAAGAAATCGTACCATATGCTGGGGGATTGGCAATGATTGCCTCTGCTTTAAAGGGGACACCAGAATCAATATCAGGTTCTTTACAAGCAGGAAGCAGAGAGTTAATAATTTCTTTCATTTGATTTCTCTGGGTAGGTATGTCAGAGGGTCCTGATGGCAGAAAACCCTTATTTTTAACCATATCTGCACCGGCATAAAAAGTCAAAGTAAAAACATATAACATAGTTGTAGAAAGGACGATAATAAATGTCATGATATGAACTTAGTAAATAGTTTATCCATGACACAACAAATTCAGAAGAGATTTAAGATATTCCCAACTATTTTCAGTAACTTAATGGTTAAGAATGTGCAATGAGTCGATGAAGAGTAACCAACTTATTCATTTGCTTAACCACTGGAGTTACCATTTCTAACCAGGAAATTTTCAAAGTTACAAAGTTTCTTCCCCTCCCACTGCCACTTTTGGCTTTCCCAAATAAAACACATTGGAAAGTATTATGGGACAGAAGAAACTAAGAAAACATGAACTAAAACAACTCAAACACCAGAAAAAGAAACTGCAGTTGAGCATGTAGCACATACAACCAGCAAGGACTTTTGGATCGCCCCCTAACGGATAAAACTCCAACCCAGCCGTCAAAACAAACTCCTTGAAATTGGAATGAGTTGCTAATCTAACACGATGACCATAGTCCTGCATGTAAATTTGAATAAGCGCCCCAAATTCGTATACAAATATACCTTAAATAAAATTGATAAAAACAATATTCATTCAACAAAAATAGAATAGTGACTTTTGTAGGACAAAAATGAGAGCTCCGAGTTAAATAAAGATACAGCCGAAAATACAACAGCTACAAATACTAGAGACAAGTGAAAGAGCTTTACCAAAAATGGATTACAAGTTTGTAGCATCTCCTTTAGTTTAGAAGTTTGTAACTGAACATTTTTCAAAAGAGAAAAAACTACACAACTTTGTATATACTGTCAAGGATCAACTTTCGAAAAAAGATGAAGTTATTCCATGATGGCTTATGAATTGTTTTATATCTAAAATACTCATTCACACAAGAGCCAACTATTGACTAATTGAACTTCAAGAGTCTTAATCCTTTGGCTTCAAGTGTGAACAATGTACAGGTTCGCCTTGTTTTAATAGAAGCGAAGATTAAAAAAATATTCATCAAGTAGTCATATAGATCATGAGATAGCACATTGAGGACCAACTCTCCACACAGAGCTTTAAGTGTTGTGATGGAGGCTAATAAATGGTTTAAAATCTAACATATACATAAGAAATGGAACTTTTAGACTAAAGAAAATGTCAACAAAAAAACACTCACCTATTTTACCAAAAGATCATACATCTCATTCCCATGTACCAACAACAAGCAACATGTCGAAAAGACAAATTTAGGACATAATAAAATGCAACTATTACTAGACCTGCAAGCGTTTTCCGATTGCAACAAATGGTTGTACATCTCCCCGTGTACCAACAATAAGCATCACTACATTCAATGGAGGAATGTAATCAAGGTCTGTTGTACCAAGTGAATCATCAATAACGTTATTTACATGATTGGATCTAGCACCAAGAACTTCAGTTTCAACATCTATTGGAACCTCAAATTCTACAGTTCCGTCATCTTTTACAGTAGCTATTCTGTTCAACAATCTAAGCTGCACAGTTGTAAATATTAACTGAAGTTTCAGCCACGTGATTAAAAAACAAAAATAAAGATGGTGATGATAGTAAATAGAAACAAAAAAAGAAAAGAAAGTAAGGCATGGTGTAGTATAATAATTTAATAAGGTAAGTTACATGGATCAGATAAATCAATGATGTATCATAAGAAATCATGTCTATTTTTTATTTTTTTACTAAGAAATCATGTCTATTATGAGTGGGAAAAAAAATTAATTCTAATATGGTGAGAGTACAATTTTATTATATAGGCTCAGAAACAAATCAATATACAATCAGCAACATTAATATTAATGGCATATGTTAGAATATGTTATTCCTATATATACAACACATTCCTATATTTAAATATCAACACAACAGAATATTTCTTGGTACATGTCTATTTTTTTTACTAAGAAATCATGTCTATTATGAGTGGGAAAATAAATAAGGTATAATATGGTGAGAGTACAATTTTATTATATAGGCTCAGAAACAAATCAATGTACAATCAGCAACATTAATTACAATGGCATATGTTAGAATATGTTATTTGATAGCAAGCCCACTCGAAAAAGAACTCAGCCCAAATGGATGAAAGATTTCTACAATTAATTAAATGTGTTTTATTTTTTTGTATGGGCTGGGCCCATTAGTCTATCAGAAAATACCCAGGGTTTTATCTTATGTATTTAAGGGACTACTTTGCTGGAGGAAAAATTATGAATGAATTTGTTATCTCTATCATTTCTCTCGCTAATTTTATTTCCCTTTTTGTTGGTAACCCTAGATCTTGAATTAATAGCTGTAAACCCTTTATCAATTGGTGCTTTCATCCTTTGAATTCATGGCCCCCCAACCCAAACCACCTAACCCTAAAGATATTATTGAAGAAGCTGTTCAAACAGCTCATGTTCATCTTGATAATGCACTAAATCTAACTCAGCAACAAATGGATGAACGTTTCGACAAAGCCACCGCGGACCTCGCATTGATTCAAACTCGTATGGATAATGAGAAACAAATTTCTGATTCTCGATATGAGAATATTATGGGAATGCTGCAAAAATTATCTACTCAAAAAGATCTCCAACAACGTGTTCCATCCCCCAATTCAGCAGCCTCTTCATCAGGTTTAACACAAATCCCTATAATTTTTTCACAATCTGCTACAAATATCACTTCACCACATATCCAGTCACCATTATCCCCACTGTTACATTCTGGATCTGCTTCACTTAACGCCTTCCATCCCCAACCAAACCTGTCCGGCGGGATTTCTCGTCCCACCCCATTACCGCAACCACGGTTTTTTTCCACTTGCCCAACCCACCACCACACCCTTTTCACAGACCTATGCCTTACCGTTGTTTCAAAATACCCCCATTCCACCTCTACACTCACACGCCCCACTTCCCCCATTTCGTACCCCGAAGCTCGAGCTTCCAATGTTCGACGGCTCCAACCCTCTCGAATGGTTGTTTCAAGCAGACCAATTTTTTGAGTTTTATCATCTTTCCCATGAAAATCGACTTGCAATGATGTCTTTCTACATGAAAGGTGAGGCTCTATGCTGGTTCAAATGGATGTACCAAAGCCATCTTTTAACGGATTGGCCAGCCTTTACTAGAGCGTTAGAACTACGCTTTGGCCCATCAACATATGTCAACCATCAAGCTGAGCTTTTTAAGTTAAAACAGACTGGTTCGGTTGTGGAGTATCAAGCAGCTTTTGAGAAGCTGGGTACTCAAGTAGTTGGATTATCTCAGGATGCTATACTAAACTGTTTTATTTCTGGGCTCACTTCAGAAATCCAAAATGAGATTGCAATCTTAAAGCCAGTAACGATTTCCCAGGCCATTGGTCTAGCCAAGTTGCTTGAATCCAAAATCAAGGATTCTAAACCTAAATACAACAGGCCGTTTCCATCCCCAGCCCCAACACCCAAATCCATCCCACCTGTACCCACCCAAACCATCAACAACCCAACCTATAAATCCCCAACACCCCCTCTCACCGTCAAACTTCCCATCAGACGCTTATCAAATGCTCAACTCCAAGAGCGTAGAGCACAAGGGTTGTGTTTTAATTGTGATGAGAAATTCATTCCTGGTCATAAGTGTTCCACCAGCAAATTCCTCTTATTAATTGAAGAAGAGGACGTTGCAACACCAGAAGACACACCTGACCTTAATGAAACCAATCTTTCCCCCACACATAATGAGGACACTTATTTTCAATTATCTCCCCAAGCAGCAAACGGCCTCTTTTCCCCAAAAACACTGAAGTTTACTGGCCTACTTCATGGTCTTAAAGTGACAGTTTTAATCGATACCGGCAGCACCCATAACATCCTCCAACCACGTATCGCCCAACATCTACGACTACCTACAACTCCTATACCCAATTTCTCTGTGATGGTTGGTAACGGCTCCAAACTATCTTGCTCAGGACTTTGCCCAGCAGTCCCTATTACCCTACAGAACCATACGTTCCAGATTCCCTTCCATTTACTACCTATTGAAGGTGCAGACGTTGTTTTAGGCATGGAATGGTTGCGTACCCTTGGGCCAATCCTAGCAGATTTTTCCATCCCAAAGATTACCTTCACACACCAAACCAATCAAATCACAATCACCGGGGACCCCAAAGCCCTTCCTTTACACGCATCCTACAACAACCTTTGTCATTTAATTCAAACAGACTCCATCGCTTCCATACACCTCCTCCTATATCAACCACCTCCAGAAACAATTGCCCCCAACTCTGAAAAGGTACCCCAAACCCTGACGCAATTCCCTAATTCACTTCCCAAACAAATCACAAACATCCTCCACTCATTCGCAGCTGTTTTCAAACAACCGCAAGGCCTTCCCCCACCAAGACCTCATGATCATCACATCCCACTTCTCCCTCACACCTCCCCTGTCAACGTGAAACCCTACCGCTACCCTCATTCTCAAAAGGACGCCATGACTTCCATCATTCAAGACATGTTACATGAAGGGATCATTAAACCCAGTAACAGCCCCTACTCCTCCCCTGTTTTGCTCGTACGAAAAAAAGATGGATCTTGGCGATTTTGTGTTGACTATCGGGCTTTAAATGCCGTGACAGTTAAGGACCGTTTCCCAATCCCAACAATTGATGAACTTTTTGATGAATTGGGTTCTGCAACTATTTTTTCTAAGATCGATTTACGCTCGGGTTACCACCAAATAAGGGTTACACCAAGTGATACACACAAAACAGCTTTTAGGACATTCGATGGTCATTACGAGTTTTTGGTTATGCCTTTTGGCTTAACAAATGCCCCTAGTTCATTTCAATCCGCTATGAATGATTTGCTTCGCCCGTATCTACGTCGGTTTGTCTTAGTCTTCTTTGATGATATTTTAATTTATAGTTCCAGCCTAGCTGATCATGCTATTCATTTAAAATTAATCTTAGAATCATCATTGTCTAACCAATTTTATGCAAAGCTCTCCAAGTGTCTTTTTGCTGTTCCAAGTGTTGATTATTTAGGTCACATTATTTCAAGCGACGGCGTCACCCCGGATCCAGCTAAAATTCAGGCTATACTTGATTGGCCAAGGCCACGATCACTCACGACTCTCAGGGGTTTCTTAGGCCTCACCGGCTTTTATAGACGTTTTGTTCGTCATTACGCCTCTCTCGCCGCTCCTCTCACCGATTTATTACGGTCCACTAAATTAGTATGGAATACAGCAGCAGAGTTCGCTTTTACAACATTAAAACAGCAAATGACAAAAACGCCTGTGCTATGCCTCCCGGACTTTGCACAAATCTTCGTCTTGGAAACAGATGCCTCAGCCGTTGCAATCGGAGCGGTTCTCTCTCAGCAAGGCCATCCATTAGCTTTCTTCAGCAAGAAGCTATGCACTCGCCTCCAAGCTTCCTCCGTCTATGTTCGAGAAATGTATGCAATCACTGAGGCAGTTAAAAAGTGGCGCCAGTACTTGATAGGCAGACATTTCCATATCTACACTGATCAGAAGAGTTTGAAAAATTTGTTAGTACAGACAATCCAAACCCCCGAACAACAAAAATGGGCTGCCAAATTACAAGGGTTCCAATTCGAGATATTTTACAAACCTGGAAAGTGTAATCAAGTTGCAGACGCCTTGAGCCGAATTCCAACAGAAGAAAATGCTTTGTTGTTCTCTATTTCATCCCCAATACTTCAGCTAATCTCACACCTCAAGCAGTACTACAAAACCAAACCAGACGGCCAAAACCTTATCAAGACACTATTAGCTGAAAATGACCATCAAGTTTTTTTTTCCCTCAAGGATGAATTATTGTACTACAAAGATAAGATCTTTATACCTCCCATTGAAAATCTGCGACAAAGCATCCTGAAAGAGTATCATTCAACACCGGTTGCTGGCCACTCAGGACTCCAACCAACACTTGCAAGGGTCTCTAGCGCCTTCCTATGGCCAGGTATCTACAGAGACACAACAGAGTTCGTTAGAACTTGCTCAATCTGTCAAACTAATAAATACAGTACCAAAAAGAAACAAGGATTGCTTCAACCTCTACCAATACCAAACCAAGTCTGGGAAGATCTAACAATGGACTTCATTACTCACTTACCTAATTCCTTTGGCCATACAGTCATCTGGGTAATCTGTGACCGTCTCAGCAAGTTCTGCCACTTCATCGGCCTTCCCACCAAGTTCACTGCAAAGGATTTGGCTCTACGATTTTCGGTCGAGATCTGTAGGCTTCATGGAATACCACGCACCATTATTTCTGATCGTGACCCCATTTTCCTCAGCACCTTTTGGAAGGCATTGTTTAAAGCACAAGGCACCACCTTGAAGTACAGCACCGCCTACCACCCTGAAACGGACGGACAAACAGAAGTCGTTAATCGTTGTTTGGAAACTTATCTACGGTGTTTCACTAGTGAACAACCTAAGAAATGGTTTCAATACTTACATTTAGCGGAACTCTGGCATAACAC